GCACATTGGGTCATGAAGTAAAATCATTTTTCTGTATGTTTTTAAGAAGAAAAGCACAGACAGATATGATGCTTTCAATAGAAGGACTCTTCTCTCTTTTCGTTCCCTTTCTATCTAGAAAGACAGTGTGAGCATTCAGATATACAATACATTTTTTTTTCGCGTTGTTTTCAAGAAGAAGACAGATAGATATGGTGCTTTTGACTGAAACTCACTTCTCCTTTTTAATTTCCTTTCTATGTGGAAAAAGAGTGTGACTATTGGGCCATGGAAACAAAATTATTTTTCTGTATATGTTCAAGAAGAACAACAAGGGCAGGTATGATGCTTTTGATCGAAGGTCTCTTCTCTTTTTTTCGGCCTCTCTCTATTTAGTAAACGATAGTGCGCATTGAGCCATGAAACAAAAATATTTTTCTGTATATTTTCAAGGAGAAAAACATCTGACAGGTTCGATGCTTTCAATTGAATGCATCTTCTCTTTTTTAGTTTCCTCTATGTAGAAAAATAGTGTGCGCATTGAGCCATGCGATAAAATTATATTTTCTGTATGTTTTCAAGAAGAAGAAAACAGATAGGTATGGTGATTTTGATTGAAAGGCTCTTCTCTGTTTTAGTTCTATCTCTATGTAAAATTACAGTGTGCGTATCAGAGGCCGAAAACGAACTGAACCGAACCCGAACCGACTTTTAGAAAACTCAATCGAACCGAACCGAACTCGAACCGGGCAATCTTGGCTCGATCTGAATCGGTAGCAGTTGTCCGTTTTTAAAAGTCGCCTTACATATTCAAAAAAGTACTTTCACTTCTCTCAAACGGGTCACTAGTTAAAGGGTAGTTAAAATAAGCAATTATCTGCCATTAGAATACTAATATACAGCTTTTTTAAACTATTTTTGCTGACCCGATCCGAAGTCTAGTGGTTCGGCTCGGTTCGAGTCGATCCGAACCGAACTCGAACTGACTTTTTAAAAACTCAATCGAACCGAACCGAGCCCGAACCGGTTTTGAAAAATTCAATCGAACCGAACCGAAGTCGAACCACAAAAGTTCGGTTCGTTTCGACCTCTGGTGCGTATCGGGGCATACAGTAAAATTATTTTCGCTGTATATTTTGAAGAAAAATAACAAGGACAGGTATGATAGATGTGGGTGATTGTACGAGTGTGTAGGTGTGTAGGTGTGCAGGTGTAGGTATGTAGGTGTAAGTGTATAGGTGTAGGTTTGAGTGACATCGAAGAAAGACTCACTCTCACGCTTACACATCTCACACACACCCACACATCATCTAATGTCGCATCGAGCCATCAAACAAAATTATTTTTCTGTTTGTTAAGAAGAAAAAAATAGTTAGGTAGGATGCTTTCGGTCAAAGGACTCGTCCCTCTTTTCGTTACCACTTTATCTAGAGAGAAAGTGTGAGGAGCATTCAGCCATGCAATGAATTGTTTTTTCTTTACGTATTCAAGAAGAAGAACGTAGTTGGGTATGGTAATTTTTTTCGAAAAGCTAATTGTTTTTCGTTCCCTTTTCATTTCAAAAAAGTGTTTTCATTGAGCCATGCAATAAAAGTATTTTTCTGAACGTTTGTGAAAGGTATATAGCAGTTAACATGGGCGGATCGGATCCATCGGCTGTGGTCTTAATTTTTGTGTCGATGCTCAAGATTAAAGGCGATCGTGATAAGGTGTGAAACTGATTCCGTTATATGTAGATGTTGTTTTTATGCAGAAATGTGGAATATATCTGATGAAAACTGTCTTACTCATTTTGTTGCCTCTCCATCAACAATACAGCAAGGTAAGTGAGTGAATAGCCTATGTTATGGCCAGATTCGATATTTCTAGGGCCAATTCGCCTAGGGAAATGTTGCAATACCATTTTCGGATGTTCCAACTACAACTCAACAAGCTCCATCATATGGTGAAAATAGTTCCTCGATACATCTTATGTTAGTCTTGAGAAGCCTAAAGTACTTGTTTTTTGTGCCTCATTGGATATGTCCAAGCGAACATTAATTTTTGCGTCGATTTGCCTACGCGCATGTTCCAACGAAACGATTTATGTTCCAAGTAGTATTCAACGAGCTCTATAAGATAGTGAAAAGCATGAATCAATAGCATACTCTCGTCACATGGAATCGTCATTTTACTGACGAAATTTTGCTCATTCCAAGGAATCTTCTGGACCGATTCACCTACGAACATGTCCCAAGTAGAACCCAACGAAGTCTATCAGTTGGCAAAATTCATATTTGCATAACATCCGCCGTTTTCAGGAAACCCTCACTTTACTGGTACAATACACCATACAACTAATTGAGCCGGTAAAATGACGATTTCTCGAAAATGAAGGATGCTATTCAGATACGATTTTCATCAACTGATAGAGCTCGTTGAATTCTATTTACAGCATGAGTACTTTTATTGGAACATATTTTCAGGCGAATCGGTCCAAGCAATACCGTAGAACTAGCGAAACTGCGACGATAAAGTAGCAATTCTACGTGAATTGAACATGCTATTCATTTAGATTTTTACTATCTAATAGAACTATGCTTGAGTTCTACTTAGATCATGAATACTTTCTTTTTGAACATATTCGCGGGCGAATCAGTCAGAAAAAAACAACAGTTTTCTATGGCATGCCATCATGGTGAGCATAGTTACAGGTGGAATAAAGATATCTCGAGAACGAGATATACTATAGAGATACGACTTTCACCATTTGATAGAGCTTATCACTTTCTACTTGGAGCATGAATAGTGTTGTTGCAACATGTTCTTAGGCGAATTGGCCCATAAATTATTATTGGTTTGAATTCATCCAACGAGGGAAAAAAGGGGTACTTTAAGTTTTTTTCGGTTAATATAAGATATACCGAGGAACGCTTTTCATCGTCTGATAGAGTTCGTCGAGTTGTAATTGAAACATATGAAAGTGGTATTGCAACATTTTTCCAAGCGAATTGGTTATAAAAGAAGGTCGAATCTACGCCTAACATAACCTACTTACAGAGTAATGTATTAATGTTTTGGATGATTCAGTGACACTACGTCACTTTGTATTTTCGAGTTTTGTTCATATGCAGTAAAACATTTTTCAAGCTTTTTCATCGAGTGATGTATCTTAAAACTGTCTACAATACTCTACATTTTGGTTAATTAACATGTGAATTGTGTTTCATAGGAGCCGAAACATATTATTAAGAGATATGATCATGATTTTTTAAACTTATGCCGAAACCGAAATTTTTCTTGTGCAATATTTTCATTCTTCGATCATCAATTCTTGTCCTTGAACATAATTTCAATTCATGCTTCCAACGAACTCTTAATAAGACGATAAACATATATAGCGAAATTGTGTTCAAGCAACAGAAATGATAATCGAAGAATTAAAATGTTCTATAAGAAAAAATTTAGGATTGACATCAATCTAGAAAATTATGAACATATTTCTAAAAGATTGTTTCCACCCCTGTGAAACAAAATAATAATGTTAATTAAACAAAATGTAGCGTTTTGTAGCGAGTTTTACGGCATACATTTCGATAAAAAAAAGCTTTGTAAAATGTTTGACACTATATTAACAAAACTGGAGAATGCAAAATAATGCATTTCCGTTGAATAAGTCGATATTTTTTGCGTACATACATGGACTATTAACGTGAGATGTATCCAGACTTCGTGAGTTCTGAACTCCTAGAACTCTTGAAAGTTCAACTTCGCTTTAAATCACTAATGTCAATAGAGATATGAACAAACTAATTATTATGCTAACTGCCTGAGCCGTACAAGGAACTCACTGAGCCTACTAAATCCAAAGAATTCACAGAACTTATGGAACTGTAAGAACTCACGAAACTCAAGAAAACCAAGGAACTTAAAGAAAACCAAAGAACTCGAGAAACCTAACAAAAGAAAGAAATGATGGAACACAAGATACCAAGCAACTCATGGAACTCATAGAACCATCGGTACCTACAGTACTCCAGGAACTTGTGAAACGAGAGAACCACGCGGATACCAATAAGTATTGATCATCTCTCCATCAACAGCTAGAACCAGATGCAAGCACACCTTTTTCTGCTCTATCGGAGGCTGAAAAGGCTTAACAATATGTGAGAAAATTCTATCTTTCTCTGATAGAGAATTCAGAACGTCTTAGGAGGGAGCTAGGTTTCCTTACTTATCCGATGAGGTTCTTTGAAGAACCACTTTGACATAAGCCCACACTATGATCATATTAAATCAGCTTGGTTATAGTAATTTATTCACCTAGGCATGCATTTGGTGTTGTGGCTACTGCTATGGGTGAAAATGTTTCGAACAAGAGTGAAAACCTTGAAATCTTGGTTACATAAGAACCAACACTAGTATTTCAGAGCTAGAGTAATTCTATATTTCGCTTTTTTAGGCAGAAGAGCTAATTTATGTTTGAATGAACGTTTAATTTCCGAAAAGAAGACATGATCTTTTATTAATATTCGCATTTTCTTTTTTGTTAGATATATTTTCAACATTTTTTAAACCTTTTTTCTAGATATTCGCACTAAAGACGTACTTTATTGATCACTTTCTTGTTTAGCTTATTTATTATTTACACTAATCAAGAGCATTTGAGAATCATGTCTAGTGCTACGTCATTTGAACCTATAGCAATCATTGGGATGTCTTGTGAATTTGCTGGTGGCATCCATACGCCCACTGATTTGTGGCAGGCACTTGAAGAAAGTCGTGATCTAGGCAGTGAAATACCTGCCGAACGGACCGATCTCTTGTCGTATTGTGCCGATATGCTCAATCGGGATAATGGTGAATTCAAACGAAAGCTCATACAACGTGGTTATTTTTTGCCAACATCGGTGCTTGACACCTTTGATGCAAGTTACTTCAATCTCTCAGATGGAGAGGCAGTTACGATTGATCCGGGTCATCGCCTTCTCATGATGAAATTTGTTCATTTGATTGAGGACGCTGGCTATACTTTAGAAAAAATGCGTGGATCACGTACTTCGGTGCATATTGGTCAATTCTCAAACGATCATGCAATGGGATCACTTCGACTAAAACCAGAACATCGAGCACGTTTTCACGCTCCACACATACTGCTTTACAATGCATCAGCTCGTTTGTCCTACCATTTTGATCTACATGGATCTAATCTATCTCTGGATAGTGCTTGTTCAACAGGGCTTCAAGCCATTCATCTAGGCGTACAAGGATTGCGTACAGGCGAAGCTGACATGGCTGTTTGTGGCAGTGTTAATACTGTTATGACACCTGAGCAAATATACCATTATTCCATGATTGGTGCCTCTTCTACTGATGGACGAAGTCGAGCGTTTAGTATTGATGCCAATGGTTATGCGAAAGGTATAGATGATACTACTGGAAAATAACCCAAAATGTATTAGGTTTCTGGTCACAATAGTCTTCCAGATTCTTCCATTATGATGTGTAAAAGTCTAGTAACTTTTGACATCGTGCTTTTCACTTTTTACTTATCGATGTCACAGAAGCCTTACTATTTCTTGATCAATGCATGAATCTGTTCATAAGATCGCACTATAGTGTTTCTGCCAGACACCATGAGTAGGAAACCATTGGATTTTAGATAAGTTTCGAAAAGAGAAGCTATAATTTGGTTCTCGGCGATAAAGCTAGAGGTTAAACATTTCTGTCATAGTTCCTACCTAGAAAATATCTTTACTATATTCCTTGAGAAATTGCAAAAGGAAAATGGTAAAGAGAATTTTGCCATACCAATTCCAGCATATATTGATATATCCGAGTATCAATGTTCTAAAATTCATCATATGACAGTGAAGCTTTCTTCTTCCCTAAATTCAATCATGCATTCAATTTGATGAGAGTGACGTCTGATAAAAGTCTTCAACCTGAATAAAAAAAAAGATACCTTTCAGTTTATTTTTCGCTTTTCTTGTTATCTTCAAAGGTAGAAAAAATAAATCTCGATTCATTAGTGAGTTATTTGTATTGTCATTTCATCGACACTTGTTCATTCAAAAATGTCATATAATAGGTAAAATATTTAAAAGCTCCTTTAAATGAAGACCGTAGTTTTTATCGCAACTAAGTTGAATTTTTAAGAAACTCTGTCAATTGTAATCTATCTTTTTCTTTCGTTATCTTTAACTTATGAACAAAACTTTTATCTTCTATAATGCTAGTATTAACAGATTTTGACTGTTCAGCTTTCACTGAGATATCGAAGTTCAGTTTCAGAGCTTTACTCTTCAACTGTTAATTATACAATAGACAATAGGAAGCATTGTAGGATAACAACGAAGCCGTCTCAATTCTTATTTGTACATCGTCATTTCCCAGTGAAAATCATACTTTCGAGTTTGAAATTCAAATGTTACCTCCAAAAAGATCTGACTAGGCTAATTTGCATCTAACATTTCAGAATTTTCGCATGGCATCTTTCTGAGAAATGAATTTTTCAGGATATCAGTACCTTTCCAGAGATATTTTAAATTTTAATTTTTTGAACAACTCTTGTCTCAAATAGGATATCCAAAGTTTGAAAAAGTTTCGGGCAATATCATTTAGTTGATGCTTTTATCGAATAGAGCTTTAGCTCAAAATTCAAAAAGTAGTTTTGCTAGAACATTGAGGCTCTCGACGGTAATTTCACTAAAAGCTCACAATATTGCAAGCATCAGACGCAGACACGAACGCTTTCATTTTATTGATGAGTCATCAGATTTTACAAATTGTTTTTGGGGAGAATTCTGGTTTTGAAATTCTTAAAGCATTAACGTGCTAAGTATATTCGATTTCAATTTTTACTTCTATTTGTTTTGAAGTGCTATCGCAGCACCAAAGATCTATATGAAATGATCAGTAAGATGGAAGTTTGATAGTGTTAGATATGATTTAGTTCTGTGGAGTCTTGCTCAATGGATATTTCTTCAATTGAGAGTTTGGGTTTTAATGAATTTTAGATCAGAGATTAAACTGTCTGTTATGTTTTAGGTGAAGGCTTAGGTCTCGTTCTTCTCAAACGATTAAGCGATGCTGAACGGGATGGTGATAAAATTTACTGTATACTGCACGATGTCTTGAGCAATCATGATGGTTCTGAAGGTAAAAACGGTTATGTAGTACCAGCGGCCGCCGGACAAGCACGTCTCCTAGGCGAAATTTATGCTAGAACACAGTACGATCGAAATCGTATCTTCTACGTTGAAGCGCATGGAACAGGAACACAAGTAGGTGATCCAACAGAAGCTAACACTATTGGTGAATTCTATGAACGGTCACCTTTCGATCCTCCATTATTAATTGGATCTATTAAGAGCAATATCGGGCATACAGAAGGAGCGGCTGGTATTGCATCTCTTATTAAAACAATAATGTGTATGAAACATAGAGCAATTCCACCAAACATGCATTTCAAAGCTTATAATCCAAAAATTGAAGCAGGCCGATTTAACATGCATGTAGTCCAGACAATGACTGCATTTCCTCCACTTAATATTGACGGTGAAAATGAACATCCAGTAGCTATCGGCATTAGTTCGTTTGGTATTGGTGGCAATAATGCTCATGCTATTATCGAAGAGTATCATCCAAAAGAGATATCGATCAATGGAAATGGTCATGCTGAAGAAGAACTGCTACAACAACATGATCTTTTTATCTTTTCGAGTATGTTGCCTATATTATATATTCTCTTAACTATATTTGACTTTTAGCAAAGAGTAGTGATTCACTTTACAAACAAGTAGTATCTTTTAACGAATGGTTAAAACAAATAGTACCTCAAGATGATGAACATTCTTTTCTTGCACGCGTCTCTCAACAATTACTACTCAAACGCACTATTAGTCATGAGCACTTGGCCATTTTTGTTTCAGCCAATCGTGCTCAATTGCAACAACAACTTGATCTTTTTCTGCAAAAACAATCAACACCAGGACTATTAGTCACCAAACGTGTTTCATCAAATTGCCCTCGCATATGTTTTGTTTTTAGTGGTCAGGGTCCTCAATGGTGGGCCATGGGTCGAGAACTCTATTCATCTGAACCGATTTTTCGCCAATGGATTCAACGAATCAATGAAGGATTTATAAAAATCAATGGTGGCGAATTCAATTTACTGAACGAAATGATTGAAAAGACGGAGAAAGAATCACGTATTAATGACACTAATATCGCACAACCGGCTCTATTTGCTGTTCAAGTAGGGCTTGCAGCACTTCTCGTCTCGTGGCACATCTTTCCCAGTGCAATTGTATCTCATAGTGCAGGAGAACAAGCAGCCGTTTTTATCTCTGGACGAGTTTCATTGCATGAAGCAGTTCGTATTGTTTATAATCGATCGCGTCTTCAACATCGAAATACTCGTCAAGGTGGTCGAATGTTGGCTGTTGCTATGAATGAACAAGAAGTGCGAGATTCATTGCTCAAAGGAATTGAACATCTGATATCTGTTGCCGGTGTCAATAGTCCACGCTCAGTAACACTTAGCGGTGATGAAAAAATTATCGATGAACTCGAGGGCATTCTTACAGCATTACATCCGACAGTGTTCAAAGCTCGACTACGGATCGAGAACGCATTTCATTCGCATCAGATGGATCGCTTTGGTGTCAGAGAAGAGATGCTTTCAACACTTGGCGATATTCGAGGTCTTCCTCTTGAAGATACAGAAGAAATGTTTGATATTCGTTGTGCACAAGCTTCACTTTATTCACCTGTTACTGGAGGTCGAATAGACGATAAAACGCCTCTTGATGCTCATCATTGGTGGTCAAATATTCGCCAATGTGTTCGATTTGGTGATGCTATTCAGACAATTATTCAAGATGGAGTCGTCAATACTTTTCTTGAATTATCACCTCATCCGGTTTTGGCCACATCAATACATGAATGCTGCGAGAAGACGTCCACCTTTCAACCACTCATTTTGTCTACTCTCAAACGAAAGGAAGACGAGCAGAAAACACTGTTGACAAGCATTGCACAACTCTCATATTCATCCGATATCTGGAAATACTTTCTTGCATCTCGATGTGTTCAACCAAGTAAAGATGTGGAACATTTATTTGACAACTTTCCCTTATATGCATTCAACTTAACTCCTTGTTGGTATGAATCAAAAGAATCTGCAATAGAGCGTCTCGCTTATCGTCTACCTTTACATCCATTACTGGGTGTTCGTCAGTGGACTCAACACACATCGGCAATATGGAAAAGTTTGATCAATCTCAATCTACCTGAACATGCCTATTTATCTCAACACAAAATACAGGATGCCATCCTTCTTCCAGCTAGTGGATATCTTGAGATGGCACTAGCCGCCTGTCGTCAACTATTGCCAGTAGCTAATAATGACGAGGCGCCACCACCGATCGCTTTTGAGCAGATTGAATTTATCAAAGCTCTTGTTCTTAACGAACATGAATTGACTGAAGTTATCATACAAATTGTGATGCCAATGCGGGAATGGTTGATTTACAGTCGACCATGGTCAGCAGCTGGACCAGATTGTCAACGATCTTCTGGCATGGCTTGTAATGATTTTATTGATTCTTTCGTTGATCTTCAAACATTGAATGCATATTCTCTGCGTCAGTTTACTCTGCATGCACGAGGTCGTATTGATATTGGTCCTCATTTGAACATTTATGCCTCGTCAGCCTATCGATTCAATAAAGAAGAAACAGCAAACTGGTATGATCTGGATGTTCCTAATCTCTATGCTCATTTATCCACAAGAGGATATCAATACGGCCCAAACTTTAGAGTAGCAACTTCAGTTAAAACCACAAATTCAGATATAACTGGCCGAGTTACTCCAGCTAATAATGAACAAAACGATATACAATACTATTTACATCCACTTATTATTGACGGTTGTTTTCATACATTCTTGTCTATTGTACCAGGAATCGAAACATTCGTTCCAGTTGCCATTAACAAGATGATTGTTTATGGAAATACTTGTCATTTGTCTCAATTAATGACGTATGGATCCTATCATTCATTTCTTGCCGGTCTTTCGCAAGAGCGAGCTTATACTTTGGATCTTGCTATATTTAACAGTAATGATGAAATGATAGAATCCAATACAAAACCACTCGTCGTATTTGAAATGTTCAAAATGCAACGCATTCCTGGTCGTTGGACACTATCGGATAAGACCATTTTCCAAAAGATAAATGAAATTGTTCATCTGCCAAATGGAGATTATGATAATCATGTACAGACAGTTTTATCTGAATTTTGTCTACAAAAGAAATGGTCAAGTCTGTTTAATCATCTGACTAGGACAGTTGATCTTTTACCATCGTCCAACACCTTGATGGATGAGACCGAAAGACAAGAGATCGACATGATGAATAATGACAATGATAATATCAATAATCAACTAGCAGATTCAATTGAGCCATTGAATGCATTAGCTGGAATGTATGCTCTTCAAGCATTACAACATCTTGCTTCATTAGAGAATATTCAACTGATCGTTAAAGACAAATTATGTCGTCTTGTGCGAGAGGATGAACCTCATTTTATCCAATTATTTGAAGCTGCTTTTTCACTTGTTCATCAACATGGACTAATTGATGAATGTGGCAATACCACTATGCCAGTGACAAATTATTCGATTCAGCTAATTCAGCAAAATCTTTTAAATCGATTTCCTCGTCTCAAATCATTCGTTACCCTAATGAACGCAGTCGGATCTAAACTTGGTCAAATACTCTTTGGTGGACGGGCTCATGAAGAGTTATTTACACAAAACAAGAAAACTGAGTTAGCTCTAGAAGATGTGCAGAATATTATTTCATTTTTAAAAACACAATGTGTTTTTCAAGCACTCATCAATCATATGCAGAACACTCATCCGAATACGTTACGTATTCTATTATTTGGAGTCGGTATAAGTTCAGTTTCAGTGCCTATTATTCGTCAATTGGCTGATTTTGCTGAACAAACAGACACATATGTTAAGGTGCTTTATGTCGATCTAACAGAAACACTTCTACTAGAGGCCGAACAAGCTTTTCAGTCCTGTCTGCCAAATGATAACAAGAGAAATCAACGAATTTTCATCTCTTATCGTGTCTATGATATAGAAGTTGAATCAGACAACTCAATCCTGTTAGGTAAATATAGACTGTTTTGTTCAAATGAACCTGGTCTTATTGATAAAGAGCAGTAGATCGTTAATTTTTTGTCTTAATCTATGTAAAGGCATCATCATGAAGGCTACTGTTAGAGATTGTGGACAAATTTAAAAAAACGTGTTTGCAAAGTATATCAATGGGTCTAAACTTTTTAGAAATGATATAAAAGTCAAAAGATCAATTACATCTCCGAGTATCGTGCTTTGACAGAATCAACTCATATAGTATTCCTATTTAAAACATAGTTTAAGGAGTACAATATATCCCGATCAAATATAAAACTTAAAAAGCAGTGTTTCACTGTTGTCTTTTCAAAATAAACTCGCCCATTCACGATTTTGGCGTGTTCACAACAATAGAAAGGGAAGAAGAAATTTAAATGATGTTTCATGTCGGATTTTTGCACATTGAAACTACCTGTATTTCGACGGGTAAAACATTATTTTTTGTGATTTTTTCTTACTATAACAGATGTCTTAGTATATTCTGATTTAAATTGTAATGCGTAGATTTAGTCGAATGCAATGTTTTTATATAAATTGTTTATCTAATTTCAGATGAACTAAAACATGTTTCGATCAAATAGTTTTCTGAGTGTTTTGATAAATGTAGTTGATATTTATATTCTCTTTGAGCGCAATAACTTATGTTTTAAAAGTTGCACAACTGATTGATGTATATTTTTTGTAGACGAATCTCATGATATTATCTTTGTGGCCAGTGTACTTCAAACAATAAGTGATATTGATCACTCGCTTGAGTCTCTTCGTCGTCTTCTTGTGCCAGGCGGTCTTCTTCTCGTCGTAGAATTAACATTAACTCATTCCTACTTCGATCTTATATTTGGCTTATTTCCTTATTGGTGGCGTGATAGTAACAGTCGTGCTATATTGACTATTGATCAATGGAGACAAGCATTTCAGTCAATAGGTGGATTTGAACCGATGGTAGTATCAGCAAAGGCGAATGCATTTGGAGATTCACTCATGATTGTGCGTAAATCAACAGCAAGATCCATTCTCATTCACCTTTCCGAATGGCAGGATCAAGCCTGGCTCTTATTTGCTGATCGTACACACAATCTATCACATGCACTTGTACCTCATTTACCAAGTTCTAACATTGAAATTCTACCAGATACTGTTACTACCAATCATATTTCTTCAACGATTGATATCATGTTGAAACAATATAAACAATTGCATATCATATTTGCTTGGCCACTCGATGTATTGCAACCTGGTCAGAATAACAATGAAACAACATTTGGATCGCATATAGAACATTTATGTTACAAACTTATTTACATTCTGCAATCTATTCAAAAATATTATCGACAGAATAACTCATTCCCATACGTTTTTATTCTTACACAAAACTCTCAGCCAATGGAAGGAAAGAATGAATTCACTCCTACAATAGCACCACTCATTGGACTTGCCCGTAGTTTAAGTGTCGAATGTCCACGTCATCACATTAAACTCATTGACTTACAACCAACAGCAGATATATTTACAGAGTCATCTTATTCCGACATTCTCATACAGCATATGATGAACTCACGAGAAGTCGATAATCTTGATGAAGCTGTTCTTTCTCTAGAAGCAGACAGTCGTATTCAATGCTTTCAGTGGCATTATGATCGGTTACAATCAAAAGAACAGCAGGAATTATCATCGAAAATGGAAAGAACAATCGTACCTAAAAACGACGCTGACAAGAATCCATTTCGGCTTCAAGTTGCACCATCGCGTTTTGTAGCTGATCTTGCTTGGACAAGAGATCTAATACCAATCAACAATCTATTACCTGGTCAAATCCAAGTCCGCATTCACTGCACTAGTCTCAATTTCAGAGATGTCTTGAAAATACGTGGTCTGTACCCTCATACACGAGTGTTTGGTCAACGAGATTGTGATCAACCTTTGGTTGATCGTGATACTACTCCTGGAACTGATTTTATGGGTACTGTTATTCTTTCTCATTCTAAGGATCTGAAGATTGGAGATCGTGTCATTGGCCTTTGGTCGTCAGGTACCTTCCATTCCCATATTATTCTTGATACTTCAGTTGTCTCACGTGTGCCCGACGAATGTTTATTGTCGGATGAACAATTGGCTGCACTGCCTACTGCATTTTTAACAGCAGTGCTCTCCTTAAAACATCGTATTAAACTTAAGCATGGTCAGACCGTTCTCATTCACGCTGCGACGGGTGCCACTGGTCAAGCTTGTATTCAGTATTGCCAAGCAGTTGGTGCTCGGGTTATTGCCACTGCAGGTAGTGATGCTAAGCGATGTTTTCTACGAAAGCACTATGGGATTGAACACGTATTCAATAGTCGTGATTTGTCGTTTGTCACCGAGATACGTTCTCGTTTTCCAAATGGTGTTAATGTCATTGTTAATTCTCTTTCGGGTCCACTTCTTCAAGAATCATTCAAACTACTTGCTCCCCATGGTCATTTTATTGAACTCGGCAAGCGGGACGTGTACGCGAGAACAAGTCTGCCGATTTTTAATTTGCGACAAGATTGTAATTTTCATGTCATTGATCTAGCATTACACGCCATTGATGAACCGCACACCATTCATGAAATGATTGACGATGTTTTGGGCCATTTTCAAAGAGGCCTATTCAAACCATTCGAACCTCTGACTATTTTTGAGCCGTCTGAAATAATTGATGCATTTACACAGTGCAGTCTTGGCCTATCTATGGGGAAAATGGTCGTTCGTATGACGAATTCTGAACAACCCATTTTACTTAAAGAAAGTGATGTGAACACGAAGATCAGTGAAAACTCAAGTGAAGGTATATTAAATTGTTAATCTAATAGTTATTGCTAGTATCCTTTTGTTTTTAGAATCTATGTTTCCGTCTGTAGTATGTGAGAGAGGAACGATTCTTGTTTCGGGTGGATTGGGTGGACTGGGACTTACTATGTCTCGTTGGATGGTGGAAAAGCGAGGTGTCAAGCACATTGTTTTAATGAGTCGTCGTACAATTGAACAGTTTGAAAAAGTCGAAAATAATCCGCAATTAGAAGATTGGTTGCAACTCAAAGAAACAGCAGCTAAATATAATACCTCAATTGATGTCGTTCAAGCAGATGTTACTCATTTTGACGATGTTTATGAACTGATTAAACGTCTTAATCAAACATCACATCCAGTGCGTGGCATTATACATAGTGCCGTCATATCCGATGATAAATTGTTGACCAATCTTAGCCAAGAGACACTCTTTCGTGTTATGGAACCTAAAGTGCGCGGTGGTTGGAATCTTCATCAAGCGTCACAACAAATCGGTGCATCCTTGCATTTCTTTGTCATGTTCTCATCAATTCGCAATCATTTGATTGATCCTGGATCAAGTAGTTACAATGCAGGAAATGAATTTTTCGAGGCTCTAGCACATTATCGTCGTGAGCAACTGAAACTACCAGCTTTATCGATTGCTTTGCCAGCAGTGCAAGGAGCAGGCATGTTCCATCGACAACAAGCCATCTTGAATAATTTACTTATTGCTCAAGGGATAGAAATGTTGCCTACAGTACCTACCTTCGAATTAGTCGAACGACTCTTTATCATGCAAACAAACTACTCATCACCTGTCATTTTTGCTGTCGACTGGAAACGACTCCATGCTAATAAAGCTAACTTGGCTAATCGTCAGTTGGTACAATTTATTGAGCAGCAGGCTACTCAACAAGGTATTTCTAATGTACGAACAAATGATTCGGGTTCATCATCAATAGCCAGAATCGAAGTCATTATTGAACGAATTCGAGAAACAGTCATGCGTCTTCTAGGAGCGTCCAGCATTGATCGAATAGATATAGATCGCTCGTTGCTCTCGCTTGGTCTGGATTCACTTGCAGCCGTTTCACTCTACAATTGGCTCAGTCAAGAATGGGGTGCTTTTATTTCGCTAGCGGAAATTTTTCAAGGTGTAAAAATTTCAGAGATAGCTAATCGAGTGCAAAAAAAAATGATAGAACGACAAACAGCATCAAGAGAAATAGAAACTACGTTATCAAATGACATGGAACAGATGGATGGAAGTGAAGACAACTTAACACTTTCTACAACCAAAAATGCTGCATCATACAACGGCATGGAAGGAGTTCTTAGAGTTTCTCTAGTAAAGGATAGTAAGTCGATCATATTCGCTATTTCGTCCAGCAATACTATTGCTGATGAATACATTCGAAAGTTCGCCAATAAGAAATCAACCATTTATTTTCTTCATGCCACCATGGATAAGCTCAACAGGGAAATCTCCGCTCGTGAGACTATCACTCAAATGCGTCGATTACATCCTAATGGTCCTTATTCATTGGTAGCTTTAGATAATGAAAGTCAAGATATTATCAAAGAAATAATAAAGCAACTCAAATACCATACAAAAGCAGGTGTTAACCATCTCGGTTAACAGAAACTGTTATTAAGGATGACTGTGCCTTTTCTTGATTATTAATAGTTAATGCACAATCTAATTTTTCTATATACTAATAAAAGCGAGTCACAACGAAAAAAACTTCCTTAAGAATCTCAATACATAGAACCTAACGTATACTCGAAAGGTCTACTAAACAAGACACGAGACTACTGAACTATTATGATTATATGATGTTTTAACTTTTCACTAATTGAGCACGTAAGTACGAATATTTATTTTATCTCGTCCAATGAATACAATAATGTTTATTCACTCTCGAGTTCTCATTTCGACAAACTAAGATATAGTTGTATTGATGTCTCAACGTTGCAGATAACATTAAAGCAGCTTTCATATGTATTTTGTTATGATATAAATGAATTAGCATCTTGAGAAAGAAATTGTACGAGATGAGATATCGAGCTTCCTAGAAAGAAAAAGAGAATGACAATATTCTTTTATTTGTTTTCGTCATCCATCGAATAAATCGAATGGAGGGAAATTGAATATCGAAAACAAACTCAAATTTAATCATTCATGATCATAGTTCGTAGAGCACCGTAACATATTCTGTTTGAAGTATTCTATGAACAAAAATTAAAAGGAAAAACAATTTTGTGTAATTTTGGATACTTTACAATGATTTCTGAAAATCATCAATTACTTATAAGCTTCTGAAATCATTCACATAATAAGAACGAACAAAATTCAAAAACTCTTATTTATCTTCGCTTTTATTTCTATCCATGTGTATTAGAGTATCACATTACAATTGACATCATAAACATCCAGTTGTTTCATGTACCAAATTACGCATTGATCAATTATCGTAGGCTAAAACTTAAAATATCGATAACTGTCGGAGTACATGGTGCATTTGCTTATTGAAAGCAACAAATAATATATTGTAATCAGTGTAGATGTCGACAAATTTCTTCGGATACTCTAGCATTAAAAGTTGATATTGACGATTATTTTTGCAAAATATAAAAAACTCAATCAATTTTTTTATGATCTAAAAATAAAGATACTATGAAATGTGAATATATTCTCGATATTATAACAATGATTTTGTGTAATTCTTTAATGACTTTGATATAGTCTCTTATTTCATCTAATGTTAAACATAAATGAGCATCATAATGAAGTTCTTGCAATGTTCTAATCATTTTATAATAGTCTTATAGATGATATCATCAAACAACTAGTCAGATATGCATCAATTGGACACTGTTATAATTTATCCGGCCCACATGATAAGATATTTCGATAACCATCAGAGTGCTTTTGATGTAACAAATTTTTGTGAAAGTTCTCTTTGAAATTGAAATAAAATATTATTGATCTAATACATGATGATGCTGCATATATCTCAATTATTTTATTCATCATCATAATGACGTTTACTTTTTCTCTTTGTTTTTTTTGTTCACCTTTACATACAAATGTATAAAGGAAGTACAGTGGTTTTTTCGACAAAACACACCAAAAAAAAAAACATTGTGTTTCTTTGTAAGTATGTTTGTGGAAAGTATGTATTGATTTAACAGAAAGGAAAAAATATCGCAAAAGAGAGAAATTCACAATGAAGTGATATTGTAAAAAATTATTATACAAAAAAAATCGAAGAAATAGTCTGATAATTGGAAAAATCAGAAAAGTTTAACCATGATATTGTCGAACAATATGATATAAAATATTTCATTTCATTTCATTTCATTTGAAAGAAAGACATACAAATCAGCAATATTCATAAATTAAAAAAAAGAAAATTTCAAAAGCTTCACATATTTGTTCTTTTCAAAATTTCTGTTATATTAGAAAGTTAACCCATGTGTTCGAATGCGATCGAATTGCGACGCAGTTGTTAAAAAAGTGGCGACATGGGTTATACTTGTAGAATATGAATGTGTATTGATAGATTGGCGAAGCAAAAAAAAATATAGATAATCGTCATGAATGTAAAAACAGCAAATTTTGAGTGTAGATGTGAATATATGAGTCTTCTGTTCAATCACACTTAAACATACAGATTCACTCGAGTCCGTTATAGTTTGACTTTTATGATTGAAACTTTTATCAAAAGCATTTTCTTCTCAGATCCACTCATCTCTAAAAGTTTTATCCCAAACAGATCATGATGAGTTGAAAGTTTATTGTAAAGATGCTCTTAAAGATTAATTTTTTACTTTTGTAGTTGATTAAGATACAATACTGGTAAATCAAATTTAGATTCACTAGAATGCAATCTCTTCTTGATTTTTTAGAAAGAATTTAAACATCAAAATCGATAATTAGACATGCAGCAATCATATTCATGTTGTGAAAACTGATTTCATAAGTCGCTGCATGAATATCTTCAAGCTCTTAGAAAATGTTAGATTTCGATCGAAATTGCACTCTATCATAAATGAGAGTATGATTATTTATTGAAGATGACGTCAAAATTATAGTCATTAGGAAGAAGATTTAATCAATATGAAAAAATTGCAACACCATCTGATATAATATATTCTACTATATTAAAATCACCTTTTTGTTTTAGAGTACTAATCGACTTTTTCAAGACAGAAAATATTAATCAAATAGGAAAATTCAAACTTGATAAAGAAAAAAAAAAAGCACATGACTCGAATTATAGAGTTCGATAAAAAATTGGCGACTACCTTTTTTCATACCAATTATGAATGTTAGAATAACGATGTTTGAGTTATATGAATAACTAATCATCATATATTCAATGATGCATATTTCTATCATTACATTTTTCATAACAACCGTACTTAACCACTATTCATTTCTTTATTATTGCTATGCTTATTTTCGTTCTGCTTGTTTGTTTACCTGTATCACGTGCATTTCTTTTCATAATATCAAATAGACTGTTTTTATTAGTTGGAAACTGCCTTAGATTTTGTTTTGCGTAGTATACCTATATATATATATGTCAATAAAATCAACTATCTTTTTTTTTTCTATTTAGTTTTGATCAGAATTAGAATGTCTGAATTAAAAGATCAACAAATTGAATATTTTCAAGTAAAGTTTTATTTCAAATATTAAATTTCATTTTTATTTTATTGATTTATAGACATTAACTAACTGGAAAGATCGACAAAAAGTGATTAATTTTTTGCGCATGTATGAATGGGATGTCTCTGTACGTTAGTTTGATATTTAAATAAAGAAATTTGAATAGAATTTAAACATTTAATAAATTTTATTTAGTTTGCTGCTGAAGCATTTTTGACAAATCCTGGTAAATATTTTTTGTTTATTTTTCTTAAATAAATTTTTCTTTTAATAGATGCAGAGGAAATTAATAATAATCAATCATGTAAACCGATTTTATTTCGAACAAATTCAAAAGAAGTTGGATCTCGATATAAAACAGTGAATGAAAATTGGACAGCACAAAAAAGATTTTTTGAAAATCATCAACAACAACAACAACAACAACAAACATCAGTAAATAATAACTAAATAAATTATATTCAAAATCATTTATCTTTTACAGAAACATTCATTGGTTAAATCATCACCTCATTCACTTAACCCATTAAATCATCTACAAACAGCAAATAATTTCAATGAAATTATCACTACATCAAATATAGAATCTCCTGATGAACGTGTAGATCAATTATTTAAATTAAATGGAAGTAAAAGAACTCCAATGTTTCCTGATATCAATCAATTAAAACATAGTTTGTTTTAATTTTTCTTTTTATCTTAATTCCCATTAGAAATGAAAGAATTCAGCTTTATTTAAACTCTTAACTAGATTGATTACTTGTTAAATCAAAAATGACAAGCATAAAGAATGATAACATCATTTGCAATAGGAAAATGTAAAAGAATTTATTCTTCTAAAATAAGATCAGAGAGAGAATGTGTAGGATATTTTATAATTCAGATTTCGAATAGGAATTTAAAGTTGTGCTTACAGTCTGATCCAATAGAATCATTGTCTTATCGAAAATATTTCACTTATAATTAGCTTTACAAAATGAATCATCACTAATACAATTATTTGTAAAAAAAAAGTATATATATATATAATCTTTTTAAGCCCCCCCCCCCCTCAGAAAAGTTAATTTTGGTCAAATTTATCGATTTTGTGATTAATAACTCATTAGATAGAGCAAAGTGTCTACTCTCGAATGCACTATAGTTGATTGATTTTATGATGAGATTTAAGGATATTATATAGGTTTTTCTGAACCCCCCTATTGAGAAAAATAAGGTTTTTAAAAACTTATTCTCCGTTTTTCTCAAAATCAATTTTTTTGAGCATACCGTTTACGCGGGCAAACCTTACTCAATAACGACTCAATATAAAAGTGGTAATGTTTTTTTGTTATAGAGCAGACACTTGGAGCTAGGTCGTAATAGAGCCCGATTTTTGAATTTCTCCTTTGTTTAAATAAAAAACTTAGATCTTTGATTTTAATTAGCGTTTTTTTGGTCACGAATTTGAGAATTTTTCGAAAATGTTTTTTTAAAAACCAAACAAAGGGAAATTAAAAAATCGGGCTATATTACGACCTAGCCGTAGGGGCACTCTACAATTTAAAAACCACGCCGACATGCTTAGCTAGTATTCTCATGTTGAAAACCTTGCCCGCGTAAAGGGTATTTTTGACCAATGAATTGACTATAACTCGTGAATGGCTTGCAGATTTCGGGAGATATTTTAACCATAATCTATTCTAGCCAAGACTAACATTCTCTGAAATTTTGGTTGAAATCGGATGAAAAATAACAAAGTTGGTTTCTGAGAGGGGGCCCCCTTAATATATAAATTATTTAGACAAACAACAACTTCTTCAATATATTGATTCAAATATTATTGGTAAAAATCTTCGAGCTAATACTATATGGGGATCTCGAAATGGTATAGTTATTTATTCTTCATTATTATAAATAAATACATTTTTTTGTTCTATAGTTATTTATGCTGATTATACAGCATCTGGACGTGGTCTAATATTTATTGAATATTGTATGATAAACAATGTTTTACCTTAGTAAGAAGAATTTTTATTTTAAAATAAGAAATAATAATGGTTTTGTTTTAGTTATGCTAATACACATAGTGAAAATAATGTATGTGCATTACAAACTACAAAATATCGTGAAGGATCACGAAATTTAATTAAACGATATGTTAATGCAACTGATGAAGATGTTGTTATTTTTACTGGATCAGGTAAATGAATAATTCTTCTTCTTCGATTAAATATTAAAAGAAATAATTAATAATTTCTTAGGATCAACTGCTGCTATTAATAAACTTGTTGATGTTTTAAATTTGAAAGATGAAAAAGTTCGAAAGAGAACTGTTATTTTTATTAGTACATTTGAACATCATTCAAATATTTTACCATGGAAAGAAACAGGAGTTGAAGTAAAATTTCTTTAGAAATTTTTATTTTAAAAATTCTAATATTTATTTATAGATTAAACGTATTCCTAATACAAAACAAGGTCTTATTAATCGAGATTATTTAAGACAACAATTAAAATATTATTATGATGAAGTTAGAAAACATATTATTTGTACATTTAATGCTGCTAGTAATGTAACTGGTATTACAACTGATGTTGATGATATTTCAAAACTTGTTCATGAATATGATGGTTGGATTTTTTGGGATTATGCAGCAGCAGCACCTTATGTTAAAATTGATATGAATCCATCAAAAATTGCTTGTAAAGAAGCTGTTTTTATTTCTACACATAAATTTGTTGGTGGACCATCAACACCAGGTTTATTTTTAAGAAGAAAAATTCAATTTAGATATTTTTCTCTCTTCTTTTTGTTTTCATTCAGGTATTTTAATAGCTAAGAAAAAACTTTTTAATAATCGAGTTCCATCTTCTGTGGGTGGTGGTACAGTAACATTTGTAACTTCAACATATATTGAATATGTAAAAGATATTGAAACACGTGAAGAAGGTGGTACACCAAATATTCTTGGTTCAATTCGAGCTGGTTTAGTTTTTCATTTAAAAGAAATTGTTGGTTATCATACAATTGAAACACGTGAAAATGCATTAGTTGAAAAATTCTTTAGACGATTTCGAAATCATCCAAAATTAATTATACTTGGATCAACAACTTTTCCTCGATTAGGAATATTTTCATTTCTTCTTTATGTACCATTTTTTCATAAATATTTACATCATAATTTTGTTTGTATTTTATTAAATGATTTATTTGGTATTCAAGTACGATCAGGATGTTCTTGTGCTGGACCTTATGTTATAGTAAATAAGATATAAGAAGAGTTTTTTTTATTTTTGTTTTGAATAAAATTTGTTTTTTTTTATTATTTAGGATTTGCTTGAACTTGATGATAGAACAACAGAAGTTTTTATACAATTTGTTACAGCAGATGATAGGTAAGATTTAATAAATAAATTTTAGAAATCATTCATGTGAATTTTAGTGGTCGATTTAAAAATGTTCCTAAAAATGCATTAATGAAACCTGGTTTTACTCGATTTAATTTATCATATTTTGCAAGTGATGAAGAAGTTGATTATATTTTAAATGCAGTCGATTTTATTGCCAATGAAGGATGGAAATTTTTAGCATTGGTAAAAATTGTTTTTTTTTTGTCTCAATAATTTCATTGCAAAAAAGAAAAAAAAATTATGTTTTACTTGTTTTAGTATACTTTTGATACAGATACAGCTGTTTGGCATCCTCGTACTATGCCATCAGAAAATCATTTTTCTCAATTTCATAGTCTTGAAATGGCTAATAAAGATCGTAGAATGAAAGAAAAATTTGAAAAATATCCAGTCGAACATTGGGTAATTAAACTTAATTTTTCTATCATTAATTATATATATTTCTTTCTTTCTTTCTTTCCTATAGAATTCAAATTTTGATCGTTCAAATATAAATTCATCTTCAGATAATCCAATCGAAGAAGCTATATTAATGGCAAATAATATACCAAAATATGTTTATGAAAATATTGATTTTCGAACTGATCCACCATTAAACATTCCAGATGAATATAAAGATTATATTTGGTTCATTACACCTAAAGATGTTATTCGAAAAATAATTATTGATTTTGAACAAAATGATAAATCTACTAGAACAGCATTATTTCATACAAAAATGAAAAAGTAATAAAGTATCGAAAATAAAATATGCATTGACATATTTCGAGAAGAATTATGATTGATTTCATTTTTTAAATTCTAAAAATTTTCTAATTGTTAGCGTCAACAGATATCGTATGTTGGCGCTAACTTGATTCTGTTTTATTGAATTTTTTTTCCTTTCATGTTTGATATGTATTGTCCTGTTGACCATCATGAGAATACGGTGATCCTTTTTGCATCATTCTTTTTTTCCATTGCATTTTTAAACTTTCTTTTTTTTTGTGATCTATATATGAGTTTGTTTGTCTCTCGTTATTTTCATTATTATTAATTGTTATTACTTCATAATTCATTACTCCTTGATCTTTTTTTGCTTTCGACTTACGACCATTTTTGTTAACCATATTTTCTTCGTTGCTCATCATTAACCATGATAGTTATTATATGTTATTATCATTTATTATTATTGATCATTGTCAATAAAACAACTAGTGATTTTCATCATTGATTATCATTCATTCTTTAACCAATAATTATATCTTCAAGTTACGGTGGACGGTAGAGCCTGTCGGGTAGGATCCGGACCCGTACCCACTCGGGTACGGGCCTAAAAATTTCGTTTTGGTCGAGTCTGGGTCGGATCCAGCTCTGAAGAAAACTTTGATGCATACAATGTATTATGAATTTTTTCAAAATTTTGTTCGTTTTATGAAGAAAAAAAAATTGAATGTATTTAGCAAAATAGATAAAAAAACAACAAAACAGGGTGTGGGTGTTGGTGTGAGTCTTCTCTTCAACCAGCACACCCACATCCACATCCTAACTTAGCTCGAGTTGCTAAACGAGTTTGAGCTATTCTGCTGCCATCAACACATCAATCGAATGTCTCTTCTCTGAAAGTGACAACACTAACAACTTGTCGAACACATTTGAGTGCAGGTAAAATCAATAATTTATTATTTACTTAGAGCATACCAAAAGTACTGACTACAGTGTTTAAAGAATTCTTTTGGATAAGGAAACCTATTGACAGATGAAAAATTAAACATACCATATTGTAGAGCTTTTTTAGACGCGTCGAATGGTATATAGTAAATCTTGTTTTCATCGAAGTTTGAAGGACCTAGAGTCCATTTACTGATAGACGACTACACACCCATACCCACATCGATAAGATAATCGGAGATGCTACATATAGGAAGTTGTAGCTCGTCAAAAACTCTACAAAATCGTATGTGAAAAAAAATATTTTACAAATACTTTCGACCAATACCAAGGTCCACAATATTCAGAAACTTATCACTCTTGGGCGTGGATGTGTAGTTGTTTATCAGTAAATTGACTTTAGTTCCTTCAAAGTGTTATGAAAACAAGATTTATTAAATACCATTCGACGCGCCTCAAAAAGCTCTACAACATCGGATATTTGGTTTTTTTTTATTACTGAATAAGTCACCTTATCCGACATGGTCTTCTAAACGCCATGACCACAACTTTTGATAAATTATAGACACATATATAAAAAATATGACTGTTTTTTTTTCTTTGTTATTAAAGGAACATTTTGTTTATTTTTTTTTTTATCAATATTATAAGTATGAAGATGAAACGTTGCTCTTACGAACAATTCTAACTTGATGTACAGTATATGGTAATGTAAGGCGTAAGAGCATAATGCATCTTGTCTCATTTATGCCTTTTTTTTTTATTTTAAAATATTGACGACGAGCAGTTGTTGTAGTTGTAAACGTTTTTCTTCTTCTACTTTATTCTCTGCTTAACATTCAAGCTGATACCATTTTTTTGTAGGGGCAACTATATGATGTAAGTTCACGTACTATTTCATTCGTTGAATGTAATAGAACGAACGAAAAAAAAAAATTACTTTTCTTTTTTCTTTTTGTATTCGTTCTTTAACTTGTATGAGTAATCATGTGAGAGTATGTGCAAATAAATATACATTCGAACAATGTACTCTCAAGAATGATGGCGACTGACGAATCAACACAACAGATACTAATAAAATGTTCACGTTTAAAAATTCGTGATTATCATAATCATACAAAAAATGCAATTAATATATTAGAAGAACTTGTTTTACGATTAGAACGTGAAAAATCAGTTTTTTATCATTCATTAGAATCTTTTATTCATATTATTCAAACAATTATCTCTTCTATTGATCGAACAATATTATGGAAATCAAAAAGAAAAGTGAGCGAACAACAACAACAACTTGCTCGAATAGCGTGTCGATTATTTAAATGTTTATGTCAAATTGATGTTGAATGTGCAACAAGTAATCAAAGTAAAATGATTATATATTCAATTCTTCAATGGCTTCGAGATGATATTGATTTTCATGTAACTAAATCTATTAAGTAAGATTATATAAATATTTATTTAACGAATAAAATTTTTTTCTTCTAGTCAAGATTTACATTTAGCAATTTATTCATGTATTGAACATTATTCTCTTATTTGTAAAAATCAAGAAGATTTTCTCAATGAATTATTTTCGACATCATCATCATCATCGAAATATAAAACACATTCATCATTATCTATTGGATTTTGTTTTAATTTTCATCATCATCATCATAGAAAAACATCAACACATGAATCATTATCAATTATTGATTATAGTTCTCGACTTGTTATTTATCTTATTGAATCTTCATTAGTTACTTCATCATTATTAATTAATCAAATTTTAACATTTTTTTTAATATATGCTTCTATTCCACGTTTTTCAATTTATCTTATTAATCATACAGATTTTTATTATTCAATTATTGTTCCATCATTATCAACGACAAATAGTGATCATTTTATACAATGTGTTATTGATGAAACAGCTCAATCACAAATAGATTCAAATGATCGTGTTTTTGTTTTTACACATATGATTAATTTACTTAGTGAATTTGCTCTTCATTCTGACATTGAAATTAATAGTTGTTCATTCGTTTCTTCTTTTAAACATTTATTTGATGCACTTGTCGATTGTGGAACAACAGTTCCATTATGGTATCTTATTAAATGTTTAGGTAATTTATTAACAAATTCTAGTAAAGAAACAAATCTTTTTCTACAAGAAATGAATCGTATTAATTTAATTAATTCTATAACTAATTATACAGCTAATCTTATACAAAAATCTATATTAGGTGAAGGTAAAATGATTTTAAAACAATTACATAATAATGTTTTAATATCTTGTCTATCAATTCTTTATAATATATCAACAATTGATCAACAAATATTAAATAAAGATTTAATAATAAATAAAATTTGTCGATTAATTTTTAAATCTAATATACAACAAATACGTCTTATGTCATGTTTACTTTATTCAAATATTTTAACACAAAAAGAACTTGAATCTGATGATTCGTGTCATTATTTATGTGAACAATTATTTTTTTCAATTAATCAAACATTTAAAAGTTCTAATTATTATTTATATAATCAAATATCATTATTAACATTAGTTAATTGTTTAAAAAATTTATGTATACATAAACAATTTCAAATACGTATTGGAAAACAAGATGATAATATTAATTTATTATTTCAAATACTTCGACAATTTTCTTCATTAAAAGAACAATATGAAGAAATTCAAATTATACTTGAATCAATTTGGTTTTTATCATTTGAATGTTCATGTGCAAAAAATATTCATAGTCATGATAAATATTTTGCTTTATTAGTTCAATTATCTGAAATAAATTCAAATGAAATAATACAACAAGCAGCAAAAGGAATACTTTGGCAATTAAAACAAACAATATCAATAAATACTAATATAACAAATAAATTAATTATTTCAAAACCATCTCAACATATTATGTTTAGTTATAATCATGATTCAAAAGATTTAGTAAATCAAATTTGTCAAGATCTTCGTAATTCAGGTTATCGAACTTGGATGGATACTGATGATATGCATGGAAGTACATTAGATTGTATGGCACATGCTATTGAACAAGCATGTCTTGTAATATTATGTATAACAGAAAAATATAAAACATCACCAAATTGTCAAAGTGAAGCAGAATATGCTTATCGATTAAAAAAACCATTTGTACCAATATTATTACAATCAAAATATAAACCAGATGGATGGTTAGGTATAATTCTTGGTACAAGATTATATATTGATTTTACTAAAAATGACTTTGATTCGAATTATAAGAAACTAGTCAAAGAAATTGAAGCAACAATAAAATAAAACAAAACTTTGTCTTTTCTTAGTTTTTGTTTTGTCTATGTCGTGTTTTGTTTTTTATTATTTTAAATAAAATAGAATAAATGAAACAAAGTCAGATTAAAATGTGAATGCTTTAAATAGATTATCATAGTTATTGTATTTGATTAGAATAATAGCTTGATTGATCTGTTTCTCATGTCACAACAACTGGATCACTTTTAGCGACATACTGCGGTTCGTTATAAATTTCACCGATTGACTGTGTTTCACAGGTAATTTTTCCGATGAACTATAGAAAACGAATGGCTGCAGAACAAAAGAAAAATGTGTGCGTGTCTGTCGCATCGATTGTTTTGTTTGCTTACTTGCTTAGAGAAAAGAATCAGTATAACAATAACGAGGTTTTGCTGAGATTTAATATTTATTTATTTTATATTTGTTTTAAGATTCATTCTTCTGTGTTCTTTTTTTTGCGTTGGCTTGTATTTTTATTTTTCGTTAAAATAAACTTGATGACTATAAAGTGAAAGCTCAAATATATATGACTAAAACTAAAGCATATTAAGATTTGGGTACAACAAATCCACTTGAATCTTTAGTTGAACGTACAAATAATTTTCTTTATGGTTTATGGTATAATAAACATATTATACAAAAACAATATGAGAAATTAAAGGTTAATAAAGAAGAAGCTGAATTAGGGTGTGGGTGTGGGTGTGGGTGGGGGTGTGGGTGTGGGTGTGGGTGGGTGTGGGGTGTGGGTGTGGGTGTGTGGGTGGGTGTGGGTGTGGGGTGTGGGTGTGGATTAG